TTTAATGTGTGAGCTACTTGGGTTTCCTATTTATTCTCGTTATCAATACCTTGTCTGAGGCATAATATACAAATATTTTCTCCCACTCTGAAGGTTTTCTCTTCACTCTGCTGTTCCTTTGCTGTGCTATTATCTGTCTGTTTTTTTTATCACAATCATCCTAATTGTCATGAAGTGATATCTCACTGATTTTTAAATTTTACTTCTTTATTCATGATTAAGCATGTACACATGCATGTGACAGTGAGAAAGAAAGAGGGAGAGAGAGAAGCATCCTCTACAGGGTCTGGTCACACTGTGATCCTCTTTTTTCAGTCCTCCATCTCATCAGATCTTGGGCACATGTGTGTATTCCTGCCTTGCTTCAGGCTGATCAGGCTGAGGGTTCAAATCCACTGGTTGCCTGTGGAATCCAGCTTCTCTGGAGCAGTGCATTACTGCTCCACCACAGGCTAGCCCTCATTGTCGATTTTTATCCACATTTTCCTAATGACTAAAGAACATATTTTTATGTGCTTATTAGCCAATTGTATATCTTCTATGGAAAAGTATCTACTTAGATCTTTTGCCCAGTTGAAAAAAGTGGGTTATTTGTATTTTTATTGTATCATATTGATACCTTGAGATTCCAATTCAATACTACAGGGTTCATTCTATCTTCTGTCCCTCCTTTCCTCATTGTCACTTTATCTCTAGTAGTGAGAGAGCTGGCTTTCATTGTGCACCATGTATTTATCCAGCTAGAGTACAATGCTTGTGCATACTTTTGTTTTTGGTTTTGTCTTCACTCTTGTAGCATACAGCCAAAAAACCTCTAAGGTTTCTCAGGTTAATCTTTTCTTCCTACATTCTTCAGTGTAGTTACATTATTCACCTGTAATACACTTAAACTCCTTTATAATAAATAAATACATAACTTCTTGTAATTCTATTTATAGTTCTCTCTATATCTTGGTTAATTTTACAATTTTAGTAAATTTCTTTTTAGGGAATGTGAAACATTACTGTCTAAGTCAGAATTATACAAAAGGTTACATTTAGAGAAATGTCAGTTCTTCTAATCCCTACTACCCTATTATTCTGCCTTTGTTTCAACCTTATTCCCACCCATTGACAGTAGGTAACCAATCTCATTGGTTTCTTGTTCATTCTTGCTGTGTTTATTTTGCACAGATGAACAGATACATTTATTTTTTCATATCTTTTTCTTTTGTACAGGAAGGGTACACTATTTACACTCTGTGTTTTGCCCCACTCACCAGTGTATTTTGGAAATCACTGCGTATGAGTTCATAAAGATCTTCTGTACCCTTTTTACAGCTGCACAGTATTCCAGTGTGTAGATGCATTATAGTGCATGCAACCACTCTTCTATGAATGGGCATTTAGATTGTTTCCAGTATTTCATACTTAGGGGAAAAAAATTCTGCAGTAAATAACCCTATACATTTGCATCTTCATGCTATTGGAGATGCTTCTTCAGAGTGGATTAAACTCATGATTTAAAAAAATTTATGTGGGGGCAGCCAGTGGCATGGTGGTTAAGGCAGTTAGATCCCACATGACCAACTGCACAGTTCAAGTCCCGGACCCAGTGACAGGAAAGCTAAACTGGGTGTGTGTATATGTGAATGTCTAAAATCCTGAGAGGAGACTGTAGGAGAAGGGATTGTGGTATGACCATTCCTTCTAGGGGGCTAATTCTCTCTCTCCCTCTCTCTGGCAAGTGTACATGTCCTATATTAAATTACAAATAATAAATATGTGCTGGAAACATAATTTGGTGAGCAGTGAGCACAACCAGCACTCAGATCTTGGTTTCTAAATATTTTTTCTCACTGAAAGGAACCAGAGCTTCTTGGAGAAATGGCTAATTCTACTTCTGAGGCAGGGAAAATACAAAATAAGCCTGAAACACTTTCTTCTTTTTTCCTGAGTGCTAAGCCTAACCCTAGCCATAATTCTAGGAACCTGGAACATTTCTGAGTGCCAAAAAAACCAACCAACCAACCAAACAAACAAAACACAAAGAATCATTCAAAGACAAAGGGACATGTTAAAAGGGCACAGGTGCTGATGCAAAGGGATTGCCATTGGCCAAATTTTGATCAATTTGATCATTAAAAAGAGTGTGAGGGATGGGGGCAGTTTGTGTCCAGATGTTTAAGACGACTGGATCCAAAAAAAAAAAAAAATGTTGACCTTGATGCATCAGTAGAAAACAAATGAATGATTATGAACTCAGCTTTGTCTTGATGACTCTCTCTCCTTAAGAGAGCATTAGGGCTGGGAGTCTAGATTTGGAAATCATCAGCACAGAGGTCTTGTCTGAAACCATCATGGTAAATTACAATGAAGGAGTGTAAAGTAAGAAGCTTTTTACAAAGAAGAATAAGCAGAGCCCGTGTATCTGGTAATTAAGAAGCAAACAGGGCTAGCAGGTGGCTTGGAGGTTAAGGTGCTGGATTTCACATGGCCAAGATCACAGTTGAAATCCCAGACCTGGCTACTTGAGAATTACACTGGGTGTGTGTGCATGTGTGCCCCAATATCCCGAGGACAGTGGAGGAGAAGGGACTGCAGTGTGGCCATCCCCACTGGAGGGTGATTTCTCACTTTCTGTCTCTTGTGAGCACATGTGCCCTATAGCAAGAACTAAATAAAATAAAAACTACAAGCTAATAGTGATTTACTATGGAGAACGGATCAGTAGAGACTGTCCAGTATGACAAAATGCAAGAGAAAACTGTGAGGAGGTAAAGAATGGAATGATGGTGTCTTGGGGGTCAGATATGATAAGGGACAGTGTTTCTAGAATACTGAAAACAACTTAGTTTGTAGGTGGAAGGGAAGAGAACAGTGAAGAGGGGGAGAGTACGAATATATTTTAAAAGTATTTATCTCTTGTTTTTCATTTAGAATTCTCTGCAACCTTTATGGCTGCCAAGGCCCGCCCAGACTATATAATATGATTTTATTTCAAATATTTCCTATTGGACTATATCTATAGAGTGTATTTCTGCAAGTGTAATAAAAACTTTTGCCTACTAGACATTGAATTAGTTCTGGATTATGATGAATCTCCAGTTTTCACTTATCTTGATCTTTTTTTTTTTTTTTTTTTGAGAGATTTTTGCTGTAGGGCGTGTGCGCTCGCTGGAAAGACAGACAGACAGAAAGTGAGAAATCACCCCCCAGGGGGGATGGCCACGCCGCAATCCCTTCTCCTCCATTCTCTTCTGGGGATCTCGGGCACGCACACACACGCGCCCAGCGTGAGTGTAAGCCACCAGGTCCGGGACTTGAACAGCGGTCGACTATGTGGGAGTCCAGAGACATAACCATTACACCAACTGCTGGTCCCATTTATCTTGATCTTCTTGATCCAGATTTTGCTGTCCAGATTTTAAGACATACCTGCTCAGTATACTTATACAGAAATATAAGGTATCTCTTTACTAACACAACCATACTTTTAAGATGGGGGGATGGTGGAGGAGAGGTGGTGGAATGATGCCTGGCAGATAAATCAGATTATTTTAATGACTTGGGCTTTTTTAATGTTGCCAGCATGTTTGTACTAATGTGTAACTGTTCCTGGAAACACGTATTTGAGCATCCAGAATGATGCAGTATATTGGTTTGTGTATTCCTGTGAGTAGGTAACACTGTTAAATTCTCTGAGAGAGTGTGTGCAAGGGGGGTGCTGCTTATTTTTGTATGTGCTTCCCATTGAAAATGTTGCAGTACATCGTCTGTCACTGTCTTCGCGCTCTGGGGGTGGGCTGAGGTAGGGAGGGTGTGACGCTGGTATTTGTGTGAACTCGGGCTTGTGATGCTGAGCTTGGTTCATCCGCTTTCTCCTCCCTTTTCCTCCCTACTCCTTCCCACCAGCGCCACAGCAACATCCTCAGAGTCGGAGAGAACTGCGCCCAGCGCGGGCACAGAGCCCCCACCGCCAGCACCCTGCGGCCCGGAGAAGACAGTGAGCGCAGTGACAGCGCCTCACCGCCCCCAGTCCGCAGACCACCATGGCCAAGAACCGCAGGGACAGAAACAGCTGGGGTGAGTAGCAAATGGTAACTTCCGCAGCCCGCCCCGAGTCTGGCCCTGGGCTTCAGGAGACAAGGAGGGCCGAGGGCTGCGTGGTGTCAGCATCCATGGCGGGGAGACGGACCGCTGGCGCGCTGCTCCCTGTTGGGTCGGAGGAACCATGGCCGAGCTGTACCCGCGTCACCGGAATCGCGCTGTCTATGCAAGGGCTGCTGCTTGGCCCAGGCCGGGCCTCCAGCGGCTTCTCCCCCACCCCGCGCTCGCCTCCTCCAGCATTTGGACAGCACCCCCTGGGCACCTCGGGGAGCCCTAGGGTTCCGCCCTAGCGGTGGGAGGGAAGGAAGAAGATGAGGGTGTGCAGGGGAGCTCTTGTTACCCGGCCGAGAGGGGCGACGGGTCACAAATCTCGAGCGGGCAGAACCCCAATTCCCCATTCTCCCGGAGCTGCTAGCTCCCGAGCCCTCCGACAGGGCGCGGGTTCCCCGCGGGCGGATGGCGCGTTCGAACAATGAAGTGGAAGGCGCGGAGTCCTGGACAGAGCGTTGCTAATCCGAGCAAACCCGAGAGAAGGGGGCACCCTTCCGGGAGTCCCCGAGCGCTGCAGTACTCATCTTAATTTGGGGGTTGGGTGAGGGCCATTTGGGAAGGAGGGGAGCAAAGTTATGGTTTCCAGCCTTCTGCCCCACCCCAACCTAGTACCCGGTTAGATCAGCCTCGAGGGTGGCTTTGTTCTTAGATTTTACCTTTTGGAGATATTGGGCTCATGATTCAGCACCAGGCCGCGGGGAGGGGAAGGAGAGGCTAGGCCCAGTGGGTTCACGCGCGAGTGGGTGGGCGGCGCTCACGCAGGCGGAGAAGAGCGGGCGCAATGATGCGGGAGAAACCGCTGCCCCGCCCGCTCTGCTGCTCGAGACCTGGTTCCGGACGGTTGGTGTGGGCAGGTGGGGCGAACCTTTTCACCTGAGGCTCCTGATTTCTCACAATCACAGTTCTGAGCTCACTAGCAGTTTAGGAACTAAAGCCTCTAGAGCAATTTTATTATCTGAACCAGAGAAGATCTCAGGCTTCGGTGGCTTGATGGATAGAGAAATATTTTGTTCATTATCTTTCAATTGTTATTATTTGTAAAGTTTACAACTACATAGAGTTCACAGCGGCTTGATTCTCTTCCTTGTCTCGGCGAGATCTCTTCTGTATACCAAGAGGTAGAAATGTACAGTTTATTTGATTATTTTAATTTACTTTTATCAGAAGACAGTACATCTCCTTGCCTCTGATTATCCTGATGGTCCCAAGATCGACTTGATCCCCAGCAGGCAGTTTACATATGAGACACTGTCCACATTTCATGGTTAATGTGGAGAGTTGGAGCAAGGATGTCTGCCATTAGCTGCCGGAGTTTAAGAAAAAGTGGTTCCATTTTCTGAGATCACCATGTCCCAATCTTAGTAGGTGTGACTATTTCAGTAACACTGGTTTGCTTTTTCTGCAGTCTTGGTGATCATTTCTAGTGTCCCTGTTCTGCCCTTTCCCTTGGCCTCTAGAGTAGGAATTCCTGGAACAGTCACAGTTAAGGAGTGCATGTTCAAGTCAGTCTGGTCTTAATATCTGTGGATGTTGGCTCCACCCTAAGAGGGAAAGTAATGTGAAATTTTATTCTGAGGTTTCAAATTTTTCTTGTTTGTGAAGTTTTGCATCATTATTCTTCACTGTTTCCTTTGGTTAGAGATTTCTTATGTAGTGGATTTTTTTTTTCCCTCTTGGCTATGTGATCCTCAAAAGGGATTTGCATAAAAATCACGTTGGTCACTTATTAGAAATGCAGATTCCCTCTTTTTCTATCCAGAGCTCCTGAGTCAATAGATCTGAAATAGGACCTAGAAATCTCTTCTTAATTAGCACGTTAGGTGATTGAGAAGCAGATGGTCTTTGGGTGTTGCTTTAGGAAACACCATCTTAGGTTATTTATGTTTGACAGGAACATATTACAAATAGTTTGCCAGGAATCATTAGAAGAGTTTCAACTCATGGATTTGGAGGGGGAAAAAAAAAACCAACAAAACACTAGAGGTACTATGTGTTCGCTGGACATTTTCACAGAAAAGAAATACTGAAAGTGGGGAGTTTTATGTTGATGTTCTATAGAAATGCCTTACTACTATTCAGATTTTTCTTTTCTGAAAAGTAAATATTGTATAAATGATTCAAAAAATATAACACATGGAGCAGGAATAGAATTTTTTGCAAAGATGTTACCTTTGTGTGTCTTGATTCCATTTTATTATCTGCTCCTAGCACAAAGCCTAACACATAGTAGGTGTTAAGTAATATCAATAGTAGCTATCATCATTTAGCTAATGTTTTAAGTGGTGAGTAGCATAATCCTCATTTTACATGTGCAAAGGTAGAGTTATTGACGGAGCCAGCATTCCAGCTCTGGCAGTTTGTCTTCTGACTGTATCATCTAGCTAGGGAAATATTTTTCATATATGTGAAAAAGAAAAAGGCAGAATGTCAAGATATAGACAATCCAGAATTTAAAAAGAGCAAGAAAGTTATATAAAAATCTATACAGAAAAGCTAAAAGTCAGACAAGGATTCTATAGGGCCATATAGCAGGCATTCACTTTCTACTGGAGAGAAACAGAGGGAAAGTGAGAAATCAGCCCCTGGGGGAATGGCCATGCTAGGATCCCTTCTCTATTCTCCTCCTGGGATGATTTTCAAGTGTCATTTTCAGGCTGTGGGGTCTCATACTCAAACCATGACTGGCCATGTGGGAATTCAACACCTTATCTACTGCATTCAAAGAAGAAAATGTTGTTTAATTTCCGCAAAATTGTGAATTTTCCAGTTTTCCTTCTGTTACTGATTTCTCACTTTATCCAATTGTGGTTGGAGAAGATACTTTTATGATATCTATCTTTAAAATATATTGAGGCTTAATCTGTGGCCTGTCATATAGTCTGAGACTCAATTTGTGACCTGTCATATAGTCTATCATGAATGTCCTATGTACATTTGAGAAGGCTGTCTATTCAATTATTGTTGGGTAGAGTCCATATATGTCTGTTAGATTTAGTTAGTTTATTGTGCTGTTCAAATTTTCTATTTTCTTGCTTATTTTCTATCTAGATGTTATATTCAGTTTGAGAGTCAGGTATTGAAGTCTCTATTATTGTAGAACTGCCTATTTCTCCTTTCAATTGTGTCAATTTTTATCTTATATATTTTGATAGTTATTAGACATGTGGATATGTATAATTGTTATATCTTTTTACTGTGTTGAAATTTTACTAATTATATAATGTCTTTCTCTCCCATAACCCTTTTTGATTTAAAGTCAATTGTGTCTGATATTAGTATACCATCCCTGCTCTCTCTTGGTTGCCATTTGTGTAGAATATCTTTTTTCATCCTTTCGCTTTTTTTTAAATTAAATAGTTTTTACATTTTATCGCATCTTTACAGTATACATTTCTTTTTCCAACACAAATACCATGCATGTCAGTCAAGACTAGGATATTACTATATACATTATCATCAGCAAATAGCTTCTCAGTTTTTGTCAGTTAAGCATATTTTACTCATTTCCCCCCCCCCTTCCATACTAAACTTTTCTTCTTTACATTTTATTGATTCACAAAAGATCTTAAAGTATGGACAAAGATAGAATCTAGTGACAAGTGCACTCTAATTTTTTTCTGAAACTTTTTTTCTCTCCCTATTCTCCCTTTTACTAAAGAGAGATATAAACTAACTTATTTGCAAAAATAAAGAAAAATTTGGTTAATCTCAATTTGGTCTGTTATTTGCACAAAGCCCCATAAGAATTCAATTTCTGATGCAAGGCAACAGATTCTATTGTATTATTGAGCTTATGCAAATAGCCATTTTGCCACAAAATAAGAATCTGGACAACAAAGCATAGATGAAAATCAGTAATGTTTTAGTCAAAAGTTGTAAAAATTTCTCCAGTTCAGTTTCCTGAAATTAATCTCTCTTCTATTGAATTTGTAGTGTTAATATAGTCTGATCTTTCCATGTAAATTCTCAAAGGTAACATTCAAAGTTATTATTGATCTTTCGGGACTTATCCCCACCATTAAGTTGGCCATTCTCTTGGATGCTTTTTGTACTCTTATTTCTGTGTGTCTGACTTTAGTTTTCCTGGTATAGCACTCCTTTCAGAACTTCTTGGAGAGCTGGTCTGGTGTTGGTAAATTCTTTCAGGTTTTGTTTGAGAATGTTTTTCTCTTTTCTTCCTATATGAAGGATAGTCTTGCTGGTTATGGTATTTTTGGTTGAAATTATTTTTCATTTAACACTTTGAATATATTTTCCCATTCTTTCCTCGCTCACATTGTTTCCAACGAGAGGGCCAATGTTAGCCTGATTGGATATCCTTTGAAAGTAAGTTGACATTTCTCTCTTGCCAGTTTTAGTATCTTATCTCTGTGGTTTTGGTCAATCTGACTGTGATGTGCCTTAGAGAAGATCTTGGGTTGATTCTATGTGGAGTCCTTTGTATTTCTTGGGTCTGGATATTTGAATGACTCTTCAGGTTTGGAGAGTTTTTCCCAGGATTTCATGAAATAGATAATTAATGCCCTGATTAATTTCTTCACCTGGAATACTGATTATCTGGATATGTGGGCATCTAATGGTATCTAGTATTACTCGTATATTATTCTCATTTTTTCTAGGTTATTTTCTCAGTCTTTTTTGGTGAACTTTTCTAGGTCAGAGGTTCTGCCTTCTATATCTGAGATTCAATCTTCTGCATGATCTAATCAATCTGCTTTTAATACTTTCAAGGGAGGTTTTGATTTCCTGTATTATAGCTTTCTTCTCTAACAGTTCCGTTTGATTCTTTTTTATGGTGTGTATTTCCTCTTTCAGATCGTGGAAGAACTTCCTCACCTCCTGGAACACATGTCTCTTTTCTCCTGCATTTTCTGGAGTTTGTTGTCTTTCTTCTTTTGCATCTCTGTTAGCTTTGTCACTGTGAATACCCTAAATTCCTTATCTGACATTTCCAAGAGTTCCATTGTACTGTCTGTAGATGATGAAGGGCTGTTCTTTCTCCTTAGAGGAGAGATATTTTCTTGATTTCCCACATTTCTCATGCCTCTACAGTGGTGGTTTCTGGTCATCTGATGAATTATACGTTACTTCCTACCTTATTGGGGTTAATTCTGAGTGTTAGAGTCGTGTGGAAGGAGATGGTCTGCAATATTTCTGCAGTTCAGTTTCCCTGATTCTCACCAAGCAACCTGCACTTTTGTCAGTGGAACTAGATATTACAAAGGCCTCACAGTTTCAAGAGAATAGGTGCACCAGGGCTGAGCTGCAGAGTTTAAAGATGTTTTGATACTGTGCACCTAGACCTGCCTAGATACTCGATTTGTAGAAGGTGAGAAGCAAGATGAGAAATTCAGTTAAAAGAAAGGAAAAAGACCAAAAAAAAAAAAAAAGACATAATAAAACAACAAAAAGGGAAAAAATAAAAGAAATAAAAGGTAAAAATAAATGAGAACTGCTCAGCATGCTGAAAAGGGCAGGGCTAGGCCTACCTTAGATGCACATGAATTCTGAAATTAGCAAGAGAAAGGAGAGGTCAGAAACAAGAAGACAGAGACAGAAAGAAGACAGAGACCACCCTACCTGCCTTTTTGCTGGGTGTTGGGCCAGAAGAAAAGGTTTGGGGCAGAGGCTTTCTGGTTAAAGGGGCAGGGCTAGGCACACCTCAGAATCACTTGGATTCTGGCTTTTCACTGGGTGTTGGAATGGAAGAAGCCATCCTTTCACTTTCAATCTGTGTCTTTGAATCTAAAATGAGTCTCTTGTAGACAGAGTATAATTGGATCATTTTTGTTATTTATTTTGCCAATCCCTTCTTTTCTCTTTTTTTTTGGAGAGGTTTTATTTTTGCTATTGGGTGCGTGCATTCGCCAGGAAGACAGAGAGAGACAGAGACAGAAAGCGAGAAATCACCCCCCAGGGGAGATGGCCACGCCCCAATCCCTTCTCCATTCTCCTCTCGGGATCTTGGGCACTCATGCACACGCGCCCAGTGTGAGTTTAAGCCACCGGGTCCTGGACTCAAACCAGTCGACTACATGGGAGTCCAGCAACATAGTCATTACACTAATTGCTGGTCCCGCCAATCCCTGTTTTTTGATTGGAGGGTTTAATCCGTTTA